TATCTATCTATCTATCTATCTATCTATCTATCTATCTATCTATCTATACCTTTGACTAATTGCAGTAATCACATCATCTTTTGAGCATCCTACTGGTCTGTCTCTTTGAATTCCAGTTTGAAGAGCAAACTTCTACTTTAAGGCATGCCACACAGGCCGTATTAAGCAATGTAACATGGAAAAAAACAACAACACGATACTCATAGATGACAGACAAATGCATGCACCAGTACCCGATCCATTCCAGGATCAGTGCTCATGTGTGATGAGGAATTTGAAGCCAAGTGGCCTAGGAAATCAAGACTTTCCACGTGTTTATTTTAGCTATGCAGTCTGTGTGTGTTAGCCTAATGGTCTGGAAAGACGCCTGTATGGAAATCTGATTTTGTGATTGTCGACAGCAATTGTTTTGTATGTATATCCATGATTGTGTAAAATGGCCCTTTTTCTTCCTGCTGCCGCTGCTGTGTGTGTGATTATGTGCTCAGCCTTGCTGGCTGGTGGCTGATAATAACACAAGAGGCTGTGTGTTTGTGAATCTCTTAGTTGTGGAGATTCCCACCGTGCTCAGCGTGTCTGGGCTCTGTGTGTTTTTGGGGTTGCACGTGTGACTCCGCCAGCTGTTCTATTCTCCTGCTGGCCCCCTCAACCCTACACAGCCGTTGTCCCTTGCCGACCCCTCCTTCGCTCAGAGGCCTGCTCTTCATCTGATAAGGGCTGCACTGGCCAAACCCTTAGCAGCGCTCCTCGGTGCCCCTCAGAGCTGTTCCATGCTAACAATACACCCTCCTTCCCCTTCGTGCTCACACCATTTACATGTGAAAACACTGTGCCTTATCTCAGTTCACTGGAGCAATGGTACAACAGCCAAGTGAGAGTGTGTGTTGGTTTATATGTATAAACGAGGCCACGAGAGAGCTGCATGAGTCGAAATCAAAGTGTGCGATTTATGTGGACACTTACTTGCCAAAAACCATATTATTATCCATTTGTGAGTTTTATTACTGTTACTTTGTCCTGACAGAGAAAGTACATAAACATTTATATGTACTGCAGCCTTAGACTTAATACATTTTTTTAAAGAATTAAAAATTTGCTGCATACCCAGTGGCTATCTGCTACAGTTCTGCAAAAATAAATGACTCCCTAGAGAGAAAAATGAGTCCCTCTCTTTCATATGATGGGATGAGAGTTATAATGTCTGTTCACAATAATTCTGATCTCACTGACCATTGATTTCAGCCCTCTTTTTACTATCATAATCAACCTCTCAACGAAGATATCACTTTTAATTTTCATTTAATCATTATTTGCATTTTCCTCACTCTTTTTGCATTAAAGTCCACTGATCTACTGACGTTATAACTTTATGCCAATAAAAGATGACTAATCAATTAACTTGGTGTTGTGCAGAGTGCAATGCCCTACACTCTGGTCAGTTCACCAGCTGCCATAAAGAAAGGTGCTGGTACAGAGACAGGAGTGTGCAGGCTTTTAATTAAACTCTGTGTGGTTAAGAGCTTGGGCTATGCAAACAAGGGCCTCCACATCAGTGTTTAAGATGAGGTAAAGGAGAGTGGGGTGTCAAGAGAAAAGCAGCTAAAATTGGAAGAAGAGGGGGTATGAGTGGAATGAAAATGAGCGATGTGTGAGGGTGGGAAGATGAGCAAACTGGGATGAAAGGTTAGTGGGAAGGGATGGACAGGTAAAGTGACGGGAAAGACCAGAGAGGAGGGGCATTTACTGTCGAAGATGATATCAGGTTATCTGATGTGACATAATGTGAAGCGGATATTGGGGTGGAACACCAAGACGAGGTGCATGATTCTGGGAGGATATTGCAATGGAAATGGTGGGGAGCCATGGAGATAATATTTATGATTTCACTAAATTCTGTCTGAGGCAAGTCGATAGTTGCTATGACTCCAAACCATTCAAAACATTAACGTACACAAATGTTCTGACTGCCTTAACAGATAATGCAAATGCCACGGAATAAAAGAATTACAGCATGATTGAAAAATACGCACAACACAAAAACAACACACACAGCAGCTCGAAAAGAAAGCAAAGCTCTGCTCAACCATCTGCTTGGTAGGGCTACTGTGACATCTATTGACAGAGCTGTGGAGCTGCATGACCAAATGTACCCATCATCCTGCTTTTTCCAAGCACTATCGGGGGTGGAGCCTATCCCAGTTGTCATTGGGCAACAGGCTGGGTACTCCCTGCAGTCCATCACACATTCACTCCGACAGGCAATTTATGCTCTTTTATTAATCTTACATGCTGTTTTTTGACTTTTGGGGGAAGCTTGGGTACCTGGAGAGAACCCACGCAAATGAGGGCAAAAAGCAATAAGGTTAATGACTTAACCTGTTAGCGTTCATAAAAAAATAAACTCCTTACTTAACTCTTTCGATTGCATTTTGACTTTGCATTGCCATGCTATGAACACAGCCTGTATTCTAGCCCTTGCATGAGCTCAGATTGTTTTTGTACACTTGAATCTTCACTCTTTGGAAGTCTCTGATTAACCAGCCTGGCAGGACACATCCACATATTCAAATCAGTGATTAACCATGGAAAAAGTCTTATAACAGATCACCATAAAGAGTCAGACACCAGGATCAGAGTCAGAAATTTGTATTACTTGAAAGCAGGACTACAGTGGACAAATTCACAAACACGTGACAGCAAATCAGACAAGATTTACACAAAAATAAGTGTTCTTTAAATCAAAACCAAAATATAAATGCTGATGTTGTTTTGTCCTGAGAAATACTTTCCAGTTTTACAGCAAATGGCATGAATTCTGCATAACACAAGCATTAAAACGTGTTTCTAAAATGAAGGCACAAAAACATAATTGTTCCTTTGGTTGGTAATACATTGCAAAAGCAGAAGTGATCTTGTTCTTTGGTTTGATTGTTTATTTCTTTCTGTACCTTTGTTATCGCTACAGTTTGCAGAAAAAATAAAGATGCAAATCACAGCTGCTTTCTACTTGTTACAATTCTATCCATCAACTTACACACAAAGTGGTTATCTGCTTTAAATAGATTTATTTGCCAGCGCATCTCATATGTACAGTGTTAAATACACCACAAAAGAACACAGATCCTTCAGATATGCATTTCAACAGTAACTTAACAGTCCACTCTAAAACTACAAAAGACACACACAATTAGTTATGTACATCATTTTGAAATTTAAAAAAGAAAAAGTATAATCATCTCATAAGTTCACTGTTCAATCTAATATGTCAGATCAGGCTGCTGTTCTTGTTTGCTTTAAACAGGCAGTTTGTGCCCAAAGATACATTTTTACAAACGTTTTACAAACGTACCAGCAAAGGAAAAGGGCTCGACAAAATCCTATGTATCAGTTATTTTGCCTTCACCTAAGAGAATAATTGGTCTTCAGACAGATATGAAAGAGAAGCACGTTTAGCCCTTCAGATGTGGCTTTTCGGCTTAAAGGAATGATTTGTCAAACTCAAGGTAAAAACTAAATTTGGAACATCCCAATGGTCCTTTTTACATTTACATTTTAATCCGGAATTTCAATCAAATAACACCAGGTACCTTTGTAACAAACAATAAAGAAAATGAACCTCTGCTGATCTTTTTTTTCGATCATTTTGAATGATCAATTAGAAATATCAGCAGAATATTATGTTTTCCATTAGTTCCATTTCACACCAATCACTGCAGAGATTTGTTGATGAGTGGCTGATTAGGATTTTCATCATTACAGATGCAGGCAATGGTCACTGGTAGGTAAAACCCACACTTTCTCTTCAACAGGGGGCACAATTCAGTTGAGTTTAGCTGACTCCAAATCAACTGATGAAAACAAAGCAGACCACAGTGTAATGTAGCCAGCATGCCAACAGGGGGAGCCATCATACAAGCTCAGTCAGCCAGTCAACAAACTGATTTTTAGGCAGCTGGTTGAGGACACTTAAGTCTTTCACTGATTGTTGAATTTCCTCAACTAGGTCTTTGCCTACGTCTGACCCTGCAGCCAAATGCATACGTCCTGCAGGCTCCCAGACCTACAGCAGAGTCTAAAGGAGAGGGGCTACAGCTGGTCTGACTCCTCTGTGGGGTCGACACTCGACTGCTTTCCTGAGGCCACATTTAAGGATGTGGAGGGTGCTGACGGGTGGCATGTAGAGGGGTTCTCAGGGCTCTGCGGACCGTCGTATTGAGGAAGCTCGCCTTCTGAAGGAAGTTCTCCATCTTGAAGGTAAGGTGGAGGAGGGAGATCAAACCATGGAGGTCGACTATGGAAACATGGAAAAAAAACAGGATGTTTTATCTTACATTATCACAGCAAAGAAATGTAGTTCTTCAGTTTATCAAAGCAAATTCTAAAAATAAATCCCTTCCGTGTCTCAGGATAAAAACTGAGTATCTTGCACAATTAGGAGTAAGTGATCGTTTCTTATAAACGCTGCTGTTGCATACACTGAAAGACAGATCTGACGAGTTTTTCTGTCTACTTTAGTCAGTGATTGTAACTGCAGTGAAATGTAAAATGCTACAAGCTACATTTTAGAAACACAGCTGGTAGAATAATAACTCCTTTCACCTGACATCCAGAACAGCCTCTGAGTATGACGGAGGCGAGTCCATGGAGAGCGTGGAGGGATAAGGCGTTCCAGACAGGAACTGCAGCGCCTGTGATGATGAGCCGCACTGGCCTGTCGCACTGGCAGAGCCAGGGGAGAGACCCGGGCCCGCCGCGTGCACGTGGCCTCGGTCAAGGATGACCAGGCGGGACAAGAGGAGCGGCTGGTGGTGATGGTGGCTGTGGGAGCTCCCTCTCACTCCTCTTGGCAACAGGACGCTCCGTTTCCTCTGGTGGTGAAGGACCAAGGCCAGCAGAGCCACCACCAGGACGAAGATGACGGCGCTGCCGATGACGGCGTAGGTGATGCTGGGATAGTAGCGGAGGCGATAGTCAAACGTCACAAAGTCCTGCCCGGGAGTTTCTGTAAAGGGAGAGGAGGGAGATGTAGAGAAAACTGAGGAGGGACAGTGTAGTCGGATGGAGAGGAGTGGACAAACCGCGGGGAACTGAACAAGAAGAGATTTTCAGAAGGAGGCTGAGGACATGGGAAGATGAGTTGCAGAGCCAGAGGCAATGGTAAGAGGAAAGATGGAGAGAGAATGTCATACAATAACTTGTTTTCATGGGGAAAAGTCTCTCTCAGAGTTTACCTGATACAATATCCACACAACAGCAGCCAAGACACATCAATGGTCACGCAGGAGTACAAATGCTACCTCTGAACTCCCCCTTAAAAAGCAGAGGCTTAACTCATTAGTGTGAAAGAAAGAAAAGGAAAAGAGAGGGGAAATGGCTCTGTGAGAAAGCAAAACGGCTTACAGCATTTTTTAAAAGATGAAATGTATGTTAAATCGCTCTGCATTAAAGAAGAAAGAAGAAAAAGGAACACCAGGGCCACCACAGAGGAGTTGGTACGCTGCGCTACTTAGAAATCCAGAGAACTAAATGCTCACAATAAGAGCTGCGGCTGGTAAGAAACGCAGAACATGTCAACCTAAGGCCTTAAATAGGGAAAGGAACAGCTGTAATGCCAGAGAGCACTGCGGCTTAATATTCCAGTTAAGATGAGGGAATAGCACTTAAACATTTCCGCTGACTGATATTACAGTGCGAGAATTTCAATAAGGCACTCGGGATGGGGCTCAGGTAAATGGCGTTTCAGCTTATCAGCTGACAGCACTGTTGTATTAAGGAGGGAGGAAGAGAGAAGGCAAGAAATCCTATTTATTACAGAGCTGCAGAAAGGATGTGCTAATGAGCTACATAAAAATGTTTTACAGTTGCTCTTTCAGCTCAAGTCACTCTTTTGCTTCAGGGGACTAGGGACATCAAACATCTCCGTGTCTCTATAAAAATAAAACACATAACAGTCACTGGACCGGATTCTATGTTCTCTGTTCCAGGTTTCCTTGTTGCTTCTTAAAAGATCCTCTGAGTTAAAGCTGGACGTCCTCACATGTAACACCATCTTTGTCCACTTTTAATCAAACAGACAGCTAAGGATATTGCCCAGAAAGCCTGCCAAAAAATGACCATTACTAAATATCTCCAAGTTGAATCAATATTCTGAAAAAGCCTCCATCTGTAAGGATTAGATCCTCAAAAAAAAGGCGAAGAAGACAAGCCAATTTGGAACTTTTTGAAGTATTCAAGGCTTATAAAGACTTACAGGCTCTTGGGGGATATTGCGTTAAGCCCAGCATAGAGATTCTCCCCACATTTAAAGACGTGGAGCTTTGGAGCTTCCATTAAAAAGTCAACCATTGTGGCCCACATGTAGCAGCCAGTTGTTGTGATCTGCAAAACCTGAAAGTGAAGCAATAACCTTGGTGTTGCTTTATTTATCAGATTCTGTCCTGCACATTTGCTAGACCTCATTTCCCACAAACTTGGGAGTGGAAACATTGGATCACAACTTAACAATGTGCAACTCATTCAGACAAAGTTTAATTAAAGACATTTTAGGGAAAAAAATAAGTCACCTAACTGTCAAACAGCAACTTAAAAAAGGTATAAAAGCCCAAGCTACTGTGTCAATGAAAGTGTTAAGTTCCTGCTAAGTGATTGTTTTCTTCTTAAAAAGGAATATATTTTGACTTGTTATCCTTTTTCTTTTGATATGATGTTGAATGCTTCCTCTGTCTACCTGACCTTGAAGACCCAGGAGAGCTTCGGCACAGTGTGTGTAAGTGTGCTCGCATATAATGTTGAATTCCAAACAACAACCAGTCTGGCATACAGCCTTCTTATTTGCCAGTGTGTATTTGTGGGCCCCATCCCTTGCTTTAATTAAATCTAATCTAATTCAGATGCTCCACCCGCCTGCTGCCCAAACCAGGCACCAGCCAATAAAACAAGGCCCCCACGACCCCTCCCTTGTGATTTAAAGTTGCCAGTCCTTCACGCTACCAATTAATTATGTACCGGACTGTCAGCGGAGAAAGACGAAAACAAAGAAGAATTATTTCCATACTTAACTAGTAGAAAAAACAGAGGGCCAAATAAAAGGATCCCACCAATGCCTATCAGGGCTCAGTGCAGTCCTCTGGGAGCAGAGAGGAGCACATACAAAAGCAACTCATAAGGCTGTGACTTCAACAATGGGAGCGCCTTCCAAACATTAATGATAGACCCCTGAAAGGCTGCTGCAAATCATGCAGGAGATGAAAAGACAGGGAGCCCAAAAAAGAAAAAAATAGGAGGCTGAATAAGCCTCCCTTTCAGCCCGAGGAGAGTGGTCCTGTACATATCTACCCCCCCTACAGTGAATATGATCGAATTCAGTGTTCCTCTACTTTTGTCTTTTGCTTTTATTTGTGGTTGTGCAAAAGAAAGAAGGAGCACTGAATGCAGAGAAAGACTCCAGGGCTCCAAAAATGATGATTACAAAATAAATAATCGGAACACAGAAGTAAACTGTATCTTCTTTTTCTCCCACTCACACTTTGTTCGTATCAGAATTTGATTTTGCTTTCTCTTTTGACCTGTCATACAGAGTCTGCACCTTATTAAACCTTTAAAGACGTTTTCTGTTGTGTCCAGCCTCGTCTTCCTCACTCTATTTTGTGTTTGATTACTTGGAGTTTAGTTGTATCATCTTTAGCATAGCATATCTTATTTTGCCTCAATCGTTTTGAGGTCAAACAAAAAAACTATCGATACAACCAATCGCACTTCAGGATCTTACAGACACATTTACACCTCAAGGCAGTTGTAAGAACACTCGCTATTGAGTTATTTCATTGTTCTGTAAGCAAAAGGAAAATTCAGTAGTGGTGGTTTTTGCACATCAGTGTTTTGCACAGATGAGCTGATCTACAATGTTGCGTTTGAGGCACGTGTAGAAAGAAAAATGAAAAAAAAATGCTTTAGCGCTTTGCACTTTTGTTCATTAGAACTTAAGCAGGATTATCCTTAATAAAAAAAAAATTCTTGTCTTTGCACATACGTTTGATGGTTATGATCTAGATTCCTTGTCTTGCCACATGTGACATGAAAGGCTCATGAACACTTGTGCTGTCAACAAACCGCAAAGCTGCTTGGATGATCATCTCCAAGTCCAAGGAGAAGACATTTCCCGTTTAGCTTTGTACGAGCTCTGAGTGGCCTCCTAAATCCTGCAGTTCTAAAAGCCCTTTGTACGGCTTGCTTTCCGTCGCTGAGAAAAATGCCCCCCTCCTCCAACCAGCCGATAAAACTAACCACATTTTTCTGCAGTTGTTAAATGATAAATACAAAGTGAGCAAGCAGAGACGTCCACACGACTAATGCTTGAAATGTTTTGCAGTGTTTATAAAATGCATGATAAATGATAGGAAAGAATTTTATGTAAACAGGATGATTATTATGCAAAAGAACTAGATAAAGTGATAAAATTTGATATGTAGCTTAAATGCTCAGATTCTTCATATCCAAGAGCATGTTCAAATGAGTCTGCACGGATGCACTTGCTTTCACATTAATAACCTCCCCGCGGTTCCTCCAGTGGTTTTGGCACCTCTGCATCTATACTGTATTCAGAAACTCGTAAAACTTCCATACGTGAAGGCTGAGGGAGAGGGTAAGGTAGAGCCTTTCAAATAGACCACTTTAATTGCATCAGAGTGCCTTCTCCCCACATTTCTCTCCAAGTCTTTCTCTCCTATGGCCTCCCCTCACACTGCCACTCCACCTCTCCCTTGCCTTAGCTTTGTGCCTCCTATAGCTTCCCTTATTTCCCCTTCCACCCACTATTTCACTGCATGCTCCTCATGCTATTACTGCTATGGAGATGACATGCAGCTTTTTCTTTATTATATACAGCTACTGCACTCGGATACTCGGTTAAAGCTCTCACCAGAGTGAGAACAACAACAGTAAATGAACCAATAAACAAACAAAAAAATAAGAAAAAAATAAAGCGATCCAACTCCAATGCGTCTCCATTTAGTCTCATGCTTAGTTTGCACTACTCCACCCTCTGTGCCTGCGTTGTTCCTCTGCACTAGTTTACCACTTGATGTTTTGCATTCCAGCATCAACCACCTGCATCAGTCTTACTATCTTTGCCTACAAGAGAAGACCAAAATCATGCTTCCGTCAGAAAACAGCCCATAAGACAGAGAGGGGAGGAAAATAGAAGAATAGGGACAGTTTTCATAAACTTAACTAAGCACACGCAGTTCCAAACTAGCTTTAAATGCATAAGAAGTAGAAAAATAGGCAGAGTTGGGCTCTATGCTGTTTCCAGTCCTTTCAGCTAGCTCGTCTGCGTGCCATCCTGACTAAACCAAGCAATTGCTTTTGCTTCTTTCCTACTATTGTGTGAAATGAAAGGAGCAATGAAAGCACCACCTCTCTTCCATCTTTGCTGTGACTCACAATCAGATTTTTTTCAATTGCTCTGGCAATCCTCTGCATGTGGCGCGCTGATGCAGACACGATGCAGCCAACGAGTTTAAGATTTAATCGGGCTCAAAAGGTTCCAGCCGTGCCCCGATGAGAAATTAATAGTTGAAAAGGAAAAAGCAAAAATCTGCTATTTTTAATGGAATCAACCCCCTGATCTTAAATGGTTGTATCTTAAATTAATGTATGGTTTGTATAGTTTTCTTCAATGTTACTGTCAATATTACATTAATAAAATATATTATGGATCTATCATGTGAAAGTTCACAGTCTGCTTTGTTATAAAAAAGAAAACATATTCCTTAAAAATGTACCAAACTGCACAGCTTCCTTTCCCTTTATTCTTTAAAGCTCATCCTAACTAACCCATTCTGCACTGCAGGTTTATTACCTTTCATTCAAATTGAAGCTCAAAAGTAGTAAATAGGATTTGTTTACTCACTTTAAACTGATAATGTTGCACTGCGGTGCAGTTTGCACATTACTGCTGACATTGGACATTCATTTTTAGAAACTGGATTAAATGGGGTAAGAAACAAAT